ACACACACACACACACTCAGAAACTAACTTTTGTTCCTCAGTTGTTCTCAAATATGTTTCGAAATGACATTTTCCTTCTTTCAGGGTAAACACTGCATGAGCATAACCCTCCCCTCACTTAGTCTCTCTCCTCCGCTCTTGTTTGCCTTTACCCTTTGATTACTTCCTCTCTTTATTATATTGTCCTTCCTTTTATACGAATCCCTTTTTGTTCTCCAAATGCACTAATTTCATCTTTACAACATCCTTCCTCCACCATCACCACAACCACCGTCACCAGGAAGTGCGGCAGCTTCCAGCGGCAGCACCATCATTGGAGAAAACACAGGGATGTTCATTGGAGGGCTGCCGGGAGACTTAACTTTGCTAAGGGAGGATTCAGGTAAGTCCATTGTCACACCAACTCTCTTTAATGATGATTTAGTGATATGGTTTATCATTTCTAACTTTTAAATAGATTAGATACATTTTGGGCATCTGAACCTGGCTTGGCTTTTTAATGTCTTTTAATGTATGTTATTGAGTCTCCAAGGAGGAAATGGTATTTTATCTCCAGTCACTCTCAGGTAGGTTAGTGCTACAGCTCTGGATTACATAGGCATTTTCTCTCCTCCTCAAGTATAATTTGGAAAGGGATATAAACCTTTTAAAGTCTCCTGGGTGAGGTTCAAATAGACCGTACCAGCTCGCTCCCTGTCTTCATAAAATGTGTCATCACTCTCATATTCAGGTACTGATACTTGTTCGCTCCTGGCCATTTGTATGATAAGCACTGGATGTCAATTTGCACTGACAACTTGAACTCAAAATTTTAACTTCGGCAGCATGGAGTGATTTTCAATTGACAGTTGTGGTATTAATTCTTGTCTGTCTCACCAGGGGATGCTCGGCTAGTGCAACAGCGTTTCTCTGGTTGCCTCAGAGACTTGAGTTTTAAGATGACTGACAGCCCGTCAGAGGAATGGAAATCTCTAGACTGGGCTAAAGCCACAAAGAAGGTGGCAGTGTATGAAAGCTGGGAGGGATGCCCAATTCAAACTGTAGAAGGAGCCCATTTTCTGGGTCATGGTAGGATCCTTTGTTAATCATATAAATGTTTACGATGACTTCTTGTTCATTTACTTGTTTCACAAGGATAATGCACACTAACATTACTACATACCACAGAGATTTACGTCCATTAAGAGGCAAATGATAGTTCACATTAGAGCAGCTATTCTCAACAACTGGGGTGGGGCCCACTGGTGAGGTACTGCCAAATTCTTAGATTGCATCATTTTTAAGGGTTATTTACAAAGCTAGTTATTTTAGCAGCATGTTTTTTTCTCATTTATTTGGAGAAGGAGTATTATGAAATATGACAAGATGTGACAGATTATTTGCTTTGCAGAGAAACGTTCTATTGAGGGTCTTTTTTTCAAGCTGTGTTCAGATACAACTTCAAGTGGATATTTAGTGTCTCTAATGCACTCGCAACACCGTATATCTTAATAAGATGCTTGTTGCTGATAATGAGGTTGTTGTTTCGTGTTGATAAATATGATGATGATAAGTTAATTGGTCTCTTTGTGAAAGAGCAGGTTCATCAGTGTACATTTCCTCCATTATTGCTTGGTAAAAGGGCCTGTTCATCCAACCTTTTATTTGTCTGTCTCTTTTAAATATATGAAAAACATCTTTAACCATGTCACACATTTTAAATGTGACTCAAACTTTATGTTTGAAAGTAAAGGTGTACAGACAATCTTCAAAATAGCGAAATAAGTTATTTTCATTATTTAGCCCTTGCCTCATAATATAATGGCAATTATTTGCTTCTTCTTTCAGGTTTCTTGGAGATGGCCAGAGATGTATTCAGTGGAGGACAGGACTTTGACATTTATATGGATTTCAGAACAGACCAGCTCGATGCACTTTTACTCTTTACATACAACACACAAACTGATGACTATATGCTGGTAAGGAGCACAGACACATTTAAGATTAGTGTTTAGATACTGAAAATACTAAAATAAAACTTAAAAACTGCAGGGCATTAGCGTGTTAATTTTTGTTTAAATTTGTTTATTTATAGGTGGAGCTGGAAGCCGGCCTCCTGACGTTCATTCTTGCCGCTGAAGGTCAAGTGACTGAACTCAGTGTGTGGGTGGGGCTTAGCTACTGCGATGGAGACTGGAAACCACTTTCACTGGCGAAACACGGCTCGCTCATTTCTGCAGCAGTCAGTGACTGGGCAGAGGAGACAAGGGGAGCGGGAGAGGCAGTGAGGCTGAGAGTTGATTCGCCATTATACTTGGGGGGCGTGCCCACGGAGCTCATACATCCTGCTCTGGACAGCCGAAGTCACAAACACGGTGAGAAAGTAGTATCAGTACTTTTACATGGCAGGTGTTCCACCAAAAAGAAGAGTTTAATTTGGTTGTTATTGATGCAGTACACACAGGTTATGCAGCTTAACTGGTCAAACATGGCATTTGCTTGTTTTTGTTTTTCTTCTATGGGGTTAAACAAGTGAGATTTTAGGTACTTGCGGGTTTTGTTTGTCTTGAGCGTAACTTGCCTACTCACTATCTAGCCAGGGCTGCATTAAATGTACCAACCAGGAGTCATAGTGGTTAAACTGGTATTTGCTTGCTATATCAAGTTTAAGTGCATGGCAAATTCAACCTGTAAATGATTTTGGAGGATGATAGTGCTTATTCGAACAATTTGAAGTGTTAAATGGATTTCACAAAGTTTTCAGAAAGATGTACTCTTCTCACACTCTCCTTCCCTTTCTCCCCTGTTTTTTTTCTCTCTTCTCCTCTTTTTCCTCTCCTTCTTCCGCTCTCTTGCTCTTCTCCTTTCCTCCTTCACAGGCCTAGGAGGTTGCATAAGGGGTCTTACCATACGAAGTGATGAAACAAACTCTCCTGTCAGTCAAAGTGTTAATCTCTCTGTTGCCTCCCGCCGTTCTGTTAGAGTCTACTTAGACGGCTGTCCCACCAGTGAAAGCCGGTACAACTGCAGAGGAAACGATTCAGTGTTGGTGTATAATGGGAGGAAGACACAAGCCACAGATCATAGCCTACAGCCTTTCACTGGTAATGATGCACATTTACAAACGTACACTAACCACTCACAGCACTCACCTGAAAAGAAAGTGTGGAACTCTGACACACTGTCAATGCAATTTTTTTATTAAACATTTCAGTAATAGATCTTCGTCCGACATCAAACAAACAATAGAAAGAACATGGCATTGAACTCCGCACATTTGATAACATTGTTTATTGTTACCGAGGTAAATGTGACAATTAATCATGATATTGATTTTAGGTGATTTTAGAACATGTAATGTGTCTTTTTTGTGCATATAGCTTTGAAATACTTTTCTTTTAATGTCAGGAATCTGTTTCTCCCATGTCCCATGTGCATCCCAAACCCTTCCTCCGATGTGCAAACACACACACACACACACTCTTACACTTTTCAAGAGTACTTGTACAGGTTTGTGGCCTTGGCTGCAGGAGGTTGGGCAGCGGGACCTTGGGAGAGAGGACGCAGCCGAAGCGAAGGTAAAACATCTATCTTCATTCAGCAGTAGTTGGTGTGCGTTTCTATGTATTTCAGACAAATATGTTTACAGCCAGCTATGATGATATCATAACAGTAATACACACTTAAACTTATGTATTACATCATGCACCCGACTCATAAAATCGTTGTTGCAGTACACAAGCACAGAACACATTGTACACGTGTGTGTGTTCCTCTATGTATGGTCCTTCAATGTGCTGTGTAATTTGCAAGTTCACCAACAAATTTTAATCTGATTGACTGCAACTGGCACTTTTTGGTCTGTTCAACAAGGAGTAAATATTAGGGCTGTTCTCGACTAACACTCATACAAGTTTCTCCACAAAGAATCATGCAAAAGCACCACTTGAAATGACCGATTAGTTGACTAATCGACTAAGAGGGGGCAGCCCTTGTAAATATGCCCTCCCGTTGACTTTGTTCTATAGTGTTTCCCTTTGTTCCTAAGAGGTTTTGGAAGTAAAGCCATGATTATGTTGTACAGTATGTGAGACTTATCCAAAGCCAGTTATATTGCATGTGCCTGACGGTATGAGAGATTGATAAAGCTTCTATAAAGGGCATTCCAGTAAAAGGCTGTTAACCCAGAATGGCCTGTGTGGTCCCTCGTGTAATATAAAGCTGCTCGTTAGTAGCGAACGATACACTGGTAGGTCTCAGTATACCATGCTATGACCAGAGAGAGGAATGAAGGAGAGTGAGGAAGGAAGTGCTGGAAACATTAAGAACTGAAGGAAGAGGAGGAGGATGGAGGACAAGGTCTGAGAGGAGAGGAGAGAGGAAGACAACAGAAAAAGGGGTGGGGGGGGGGCAGCAAGAAGGGAAGTGGTGGGAGGAGATAAGGAAAAATGCATTGTGAGAAAAACAGGAAGACATAAGAATAGCTGAAGTGAAGAAGGAAGGTAAGAAAGTTAGGAAAGGAAAAAGGAAGATGAAAAGATGGATGGAAACAAAATGAAAGTGATTGTGAGGCTGTGAGATAGTCAGAGAGGAAGGGAGGGAGGGGGGATGGAGCTGGACCATCCTGCACTACTGAGGGTGTCAAAGACAGAAAGAAGAGTGCTACCGAGAAGGAGGGAGGCTGATTGCTGTGAAATATAGTCCAGAATGAATGGCTGGCTGTATTAAATCAGTGCTGAAAAAGTTACTGCGCTCATAAATACTATTTATGCTAATAGTGAGGTATGATTTACTGGGCCTATTAAAACACAGAGAGATGGGGATGCTTTTATTTTAACCTCATGTGCTCTCGACCTGTTGTTTTGCTTTTATTTTTTCTCTTTTTGCCTTCATTTGATACATCTGTCTTTTGACATTTGTTCTGCCTGGCCTACATTCGTTCTTTGTTTCTTTTGTCTTTGATTCTCTTACTTGTTTTATTATGTATTACTTAGTTTAATTATAGTATCTGATTGTGTTATTTATTCATTCTGCTGCTTGCAGTTATGCATCTCTTTTCCTGTCTTGATCCACATAGTTTTGCTCTCCACAATCTCCTCTCATCTTGACTCATTTTGCTTCTCTCTCGCTTTCTCTCTGTCTCTCTCTGTAGTACCGAGGTCTGTACCACCTCCTACCACAGTGCAGAGCTTGAATGGCTTCAGTGCCAAGGTGAGCTGGGTGCCACCTACTGGGGACGTCAGAGGGCTGATTGACAGATATGAGTTGAAGGCCTACAATAGAGATCAACCAGAGATACCACCTATCAAAGCCATGTACCTGGCTAATGGAAATTTCACAGGTAAAACACATACAAACCTTCGATAGTATAAAATATCTTAACATGCAGTTCCTATATTAAACTTTTTAATGTTGTTGAGATACTGAAAAAGTGGTCAAATGACATGTAGGGTCCCAACAAACCGAATACAAGGAGAGGTAACTCTTTTCTGAAAACAGAAATAACTGTATTTGGCTCAGTTAGAGCCAGACAAACATCACAGTCGCATCATGTGAAACATGGATCATTTATGCTGAATTTAACTTGAAGCCGTTGTCCTGTTGACTTATTGTAGTTTATTGCCTCCTGCTATTAAGACCTGCCGTTTGGCGCTTACTGAAAATACATTCACACTGTCTTTTTCACTCACTTTCCTTCTTGTCTTTCATACAAACACACACACACACACACACACACACATACACACCGTCTCAGGCAACCCTGTTAATGTCTCCTTGGCAAGTCCCCAGCTTTAGGAGACTGTCTCCATTTGGAACAAGACACTCAGGACTACCCCAATGATGTCATACCCTGGCATTGCTCCTTTTTTTCTCTCTCTCTCTCTGTTGCTCACTTTTCGATCTTTCCCCACTTCATCTTTTATGATGATGATGTCTGCGTCCCTTGCTGCTATTCGTCCCTCTCCTCATCCACTCTGCCATGTCTCCAGGCAAATATGAAGATGAGCTCTCTGTCTCCGTCTTTCTCAGTGTCTCTCTCGGTGCTCCCCATTCCCTCCCTCTCTTTGCCAGACATTAAGTCCACCGTGATAAGGCTTCTTGTTAATTTATGATGGCCTCGACACCTGACTGCAGAATTACACCAACGGCTAAAAAACACAGAAAGCAAATGAGGGTGTAATGGCAGCAGAGTGGGGCCCTGGCCCCTAATTGAATTAAAAGACATGGGTAACAGAGAGAGAGAGAGAAGAAAGACAAGTACAGGTTGACTGGACACAGAGGGTGAGGAGGTTTAAAGGAGGAGGAAGAGAAGAGGGGGGATGTGAAAGAGTGACTCAAGAAATACAGAAAGGAGTGGAGAGGGCAGACGGCTAGGACAAAAAACATCAGACGGGGACAACTGAAGCCTTACAATTAGAGCAGACTCTCCTTGTGTGCCAAGCCCAGTAAGCTTGCTTAGCAACAGTGGCACAGGGAAACAAGTAAAGCATTTAAATTGCACCATTGAAGAAGATTGATACATACTTCAGTAACAACAGTTTCCAACACACACTAAAAGGAGACAGTTAAAGGTATAAGGCGGGGTTGGAACAAAGGAGTGTTAAAGTATACGTTCACATCTTAAAACAGAACTCACTCATATGATCGTTGCAAACATGTGTTCGAAGTTCACCCACAGCTAATATGAGGAAAAGTCAAGCGGTGTTAAAGAGTCACAGAGTCTTTTTTGAACAAAATTCCCTCTACCTGTTTGCTCTGCCTCACTCCCTGTCTGACATGTTCATGCCCTCCTCTTCTCCAGGTGTGCTGCCGGGCCTCACTCCATCCACTCGATACATCATCACTCTAAGCGCCTGTAGTCCTGTTGGCTGCACTGAGAGTCTTCTTAATGATAATGGTGATGATAATGATTTGAAATCGAGCCTCACAACCCCGGAGGAAGGTAAGACTGTAAAGCACAAACATACACATATTTATACACACGCACATCATACACCAATGAAAATAACTTTTCTATCCTTTACCAGTTGCATTAATTTATGAATGTTTATGCGTCTGGGCACACAGACACACTTCTAAACACACTTAGACACTCTCATCCTATCTCCTGAGGGATTGTAGCTCTTAAGAAGAGGGAGGAAGAAAGAGAAGATGGAATAAAAAGGAGAAGGGTGGGAGAAGAAGTAAGATAGCTGGATTGGGCAAGACACAAAATGATGAATGAAGACAATGAAGCATATTGCAACTGAGTGAAAGGCAGATTGTACAGAGTAACATTTTTCCTATCTGGGAGGTCATGGTGGGAAGATTACATGTATAAGGAAAGAAGAGGAAATGAGAGATTCTTCTTCATATGTTAGTCGCTATTAATCTGTGTTGGACTAACTGGTCTTGTTGGGGAGATAATGTGACGGCAGGGGTCAGTGCAGAGACGGCAAAAAATCAATCTGAAGTAAAAGGAGGAGAAAAACAGATTACTGTATTGATTCTCACTGAACGCAGAGTTAAGACACTGAACCATGTTAGGAAGACCCGAGAAAGAACTTATTTATAACTCTGTTTCGCCAAAGACTATTTTTCAAACTCACAAAACCTCATGGAGACACCTTTTTACTCACTTCTCTGTGAACCGGCCGGGCACATCTTGTTCACCTTCTTCACTAGATCACGGAGCATGAAATCATAAAGTTTCCTCTCCAGCCAAGCACAAGCCGACACGCAACATTAAGAACTTTTAACAATTCAATGTTTATTATAAAGTATTATGTTTGTATTGAAACAGGGAAATCAAGGTGTTTGAAAAAATGGATAACCTACTCCTTATAAACAAATAATTAGATTTTCCTCCAATTTCAGCTCCAGATGTTGTCTCTCCTCCAGTTGCACTCTCTTCCCCCTCAGCCCTCTATATTACCTGGGAACCCCCCGCAAGGTAATGCACAGCCTCACCTATTCTCACATCCAAATCACATATTTTGTTAGCGTTAGGTTGCTTTTTACACACCTGATCTTCTGTCATAAAGCCTTCACTAATGGGCAACATGTTGATACACATGTCAGACCTACTACTTCAAGGGAATATGAAAAACAGCAGTGAAGTGACTATATGTGTTATACTAAAATCAAACATAATGTTGTATAATAATGACACATGTATCTCCTTTTTTTCACCGTGCATATATTCCTCACCTTAAATTGAGATTCCATTATTGAACACAACAGAGAGTTTAACATCATAAATAGTATGATAAATACATAACATAATAATATTACCCTCATTTAACTTCTTTGTTCCAATGATAGGCCCAATGGAGGCATTACAGAATACCTCCTCTATCACAACAACCAAATGGTCTACAGGGGGAAGGACCGACAACACAACATCACTGGTAAAAAGCAGAGAGAGAGAGAGAGAAAGTGTGTGCGTGTGTGTGCGGGTTGTAGTGTTTGTGTGACTGTAGAGGGATGGGACCTCGGTGTAAAGAGAAGGGGAAGAGTGAAGAAAAACAAAACGGAGAGGGGGATTAGCATTTGAAAAAGGAAAGAGCATCTCAGTCCTCACCAAGGGAATAGCACTTTGAAAAAGAGCGCTAAACACACTCACACACACACACACACACACACACGAAAATGAAGCAGCAGAGAAACAAAGAACACTAAACATTAGCACACATGCATACTGTATACATACTGTTCATTAAAGAGACTTAAAGAAGGTATGAAACACATGTCATACCGCTGAGACTACAGTGCTGCACCAGGATGTGAACACGGTAGATACACGCATACAAGACACACTCAACAGAACATATGCTGACAAAAAGTATGCAGGGAGGTACACAGACTCACAAACACAGGAGAGTCATTCTATATGGCATTTTATATGAGCAGAATAGATTAGCACTCATTTTGATTTTACACACACACCCGGCAAAACATCATGCTGCCCAACAGTGTGTGTGTGTCCTCGTTAGTTAATGAATGCATGAGAGCACATATCATCCATGCTGGGTTAATAATGCAGAGTGTCTGATGTTCGCAGTGATTGGAAGGATTATGGACTTTGTAATTATACAGTATGTGCAAGAATAGGTCGCGTTACAGAGAGTGAGATTGCCACAGTGAGACAGATGGAGAACAGTTGTGAGGCAAAGATGGACACTGAGAGAGAAACAACGATTCAGACACGGAGCTAAAAGGAGAGAGGGAGATACACGAAGGAATGATTCTGGAAAAAGAAGATAGAGTTCAGGGATTTGGAGTTAAATGAGGCTTAAATCTCCTCACAATAAGAAGTTATTGGGCAACTTAGGTCTATGATCTACATCAATGATTGTCAGCCATAAATTGTACTGAGCTATTATTGTGTTTGTACTTATTTTCATGCCTCTCTGTGTCTTGCTGTCTGTGTGTGTGTTTCAGGTCTTGGTGTCTATTCCACCCATGTCTTGGTACTGAGTGCATGCACTTTAGTGGGCTGCACCAAAAGTTCACAAGTTACTATGCTGACCTCTCAGCTTCCTCCAGGGCCCCTACACGTACCAACTCTTACCCTGCTTGACTCACGGACTATTCTGGTGGAGTAAGTGAGCACATAAACACACACGCACACACAAATACACATTTACATGTGTTGTCCATATGTTAATACCCATACTCGCAAAGACCTTTTAGGTAAGAGAGAGAAAGTGAATGTTCACTGTTTCAGCATTACTGGAAAGGACAAGATAAGACTAAAAGGAATTCAAGAAATGTTATAGCTCTTCATTCTTTATTTCACATGTTGTGTCTGTGTAAAATACAAAGAGAGAGAGAGAGAGAGAGAGAGAGAGAGAGACAGGTGGAGACAGAGCCAGTGACCTTCTGCAGTTGTGTTTACCGTGCAGAATATTCTTCTGTACTTGACCTTCCACCTCTAGAGGGAGGGGACAGAGGAAGATAGATCTCTGCACTTTTTCCATCAAGCTCATGTGCAAATGTTCCTGGTTTTTGTGTGTGTGAGTATGTAAGAGTCCATCTGCGTGAAAGCCATTAGTGTCCTGACTGTCACTTACAGTGGGACTCACTGCAGGAGGGCACAGAGCCACTAAAACACACACAGGCATATCCACACACACTTAAACAATGGACGGAGGGTGAGTGAAAGGATGGAGGAGTAATAATATGAAGGCTCACAGTGTCTAATGGTGAATGTGTGTGGTCAAGATGTGATGATCTTGGCAACGATCGATTGTTTTTTTCTTTTCATATATATAAATTTGAAAGGATAAAGAATTGATAATACCCGATATCTGATCCACAAAGCATGCACATATTGCTCTTATTTAACTGATATCAGCGTTGCTCCTAAATTGAATCAACCCTGTGTAAAAGGAATGCCTGTACATATGCCTGTAAACAAAAACATACAACAATCTGAAAGACAAATCAATATGTGGGAGCAATGTTTGAAAAACAAATATAACTGAAGTAACTGAACTAGTTTAACTTTTGTATTTACTCAGACTGACACAGTTTTGTTTTTACGGAGCCACAAAACATAGTAGGGATTTATGTACTGTATATCAGGTTACCAGTGGTTCTGATCACATGTGCATTTTTCTCTTACTCAGCATTATAATAATAATGAATAGTTTGTGCATGCACGCCAGTTCAAATCATCTCCACATATAGATGTATGAATGAAGCTGTTATTCCATACAAAGTAAACAAGCTTACATATTTTTGATAAACATGTAGTCTGTAGACAGTTAACAGCAACAAAAGAGAATGTCTCTGTGTAATCGTGTGCACATCATCCATGGGAGTATGCTACCTTCAGGGATTTGTTTCATCGTCTTTAAAAAGCCTCTAAAATGTGTTTCAGCTATATATTCACCAGGTGTGGGAAGGCTATGTATTGCCTTGTTAGCACATTGGTAATAGGAAGAGGTTGAGAGATCATACTTTGTCAATACCTCTCTATTGTGTCTGTGAGAGAGCGAGAGAGAGAGAGAGAGATTTTGTGAGTTTAAATGGAAAGAACAGAGGGAAATGTTTAAAAAGTGTGTGTGTTTGTGTGTGTGTCTGTGAGAAAGGTTGAGGGTGAGAGACTGTGAGGAAGGCTGCAGGATGCGAACAGAACAATATCAGCAGATTTATCCCTGACCTCATCTAACACTACCTGACACAAACGCATTCATAAACACACACAGACACAACTGCAAAAATACTCACATTGAGAGACGTGTGCACAGTCACAAACATATCGAAAACCTGATGGGGACACTTGACATGTTGAGAATAGAGGTCAATTTCACCAACTAAAACAATCATATTTGTTTAATTCCAGCTTGTTTTCAATCTTCAATACTTTAATGTGTTGTCAATAATTATTCAATGCTGCCAATGTTTGTTTTTCTGAGTATGCAAATTAGAGAAAGACATGAAAGAGCAGGGAGGGAAGGTGCAGGAGACAGGTTGTCACTTCATAGATTGTAAAGCAAAATTTGAACCTAATGCATTTCAAGCACATGGTTTTCAATTTACTGTAATGTGCTGAGAAAGTTTCACATTAATTTCACAACGTTTTTAAAAACAATGATTTTCTAAAACTATTACTAACGTGAATTATATTACAGATTATTACAACTCCCCTTTGATTTAGTTTTTCAAAAGTGGACATACATCACACTGTCAATCGTCAGCATATAAATCTTATAATAAATGTGATAGATTAGCCACAGTGGCTAATTGTGGCTAACACACACTCATCAGTCATTCAAAAACTGGCTTTTAATGGGAGGAACCAAGAAAGGAATCCATCACTTTTGAAAATGACCTCCCTCTGCGACGACACCAGGAGGGTTGGTTTACTCTCAGGGATCTGTAAGAATCGCAGAACTATTTATAAAAATAAATGTTCTCAATCTTTACTTGTTTTGTTATTCTCAAAATCTTCAGATACTTTGGATTTTGTATACGATTTTGTATGCGTGAAAAGTGCATCAAGGTACATCATTTACAAACCACAAGCAGTATTTGAGTCCAGTGATTTACATGCTGTATGTGCTTCAAAACACTGATACTCTGGCACTGTTAGGATGGAATCTAATTACCAGTCCTGCTCTCTTTAGAGTTTACCTCTAATGTTCTCATGACTGCACAACTTTCTTCATAAAATTATTTGATCATAGCTTATCTGTCCAACATCATCCACAGGCACATATCACATTTAAAAGGACAGTGACTAGATGATCATGATCATCAAGCAGCTCCTACAATCCCTTATTATAATACATAAAAAGCTATCATAGTTTACTGTTAATGAAGCAGGCAAAAAAAGTTACATCTGATCTTCTTTATAGTTTAGTCTTTATAGCTAAGATTAGGTCCGTATTGCCGTCACTTGTACATTTTGTAATGGTAAGTCGACACATTTCTATTTATAAATACCGTCTCTTTTCCGCTCCCTTTCTCTCGCTGTTGGGGATGACCTTCGTGTTCTAAATATAGAAAAGGAGACACCTCTATCTGACAGAGGAAACTGTGCGGGCAGTATACGCACTCTGAATTGTGTTTCAATCTATTTGCAAAAAGAAACACAATGATAAAAGCACACGTTTTTGTGCGTGTGTGAAATTAATTGAATATTTACCAAAGTGCCGCATAAAAAAAACCATTCCAAACCAATGAAATCTAAGCAGTCCTAGCAACATCTTAATATACAATATACTTAACAGCATCCGTCTGTCTTCAAAAAGAACGACAGTTACATTTCTAGAATTTGAATAAATGTAAAAACATTTAAATGTCTGTTGTTATCTTCACAATCCAATGTTTTAATTACACTGGCCTTGTGCATCCCATTGAAGAAATGTGTCAACCAAAGTAGTGGTGTGGCTCTTTAATGGGTTTCTAATAGTTTTCCAACAGTTCTGAGGTAGAAAGTAGAAAAGTATAACTAGGCTGCTAATCAGGCTCTAGTTAAACTCAAAAAAAAACTTGCTTGTAGGATAAATTTGTAATTTTGATCTCTTCAGATGGATTTTGTCACTAAAATGATGAAATAACTCCAGCCTTATCTTTAGTCTGTAAATAAACTTAACATTATATAATACGTATAGTATAAGTCCCTAAAGTCTGAATTAAAGTGCAGTACTTGAGTAAATATATTTAGTTTTTTATATCTCTGCTGATGCCTCTCTTTCTCTCCAGGTGGTCACGTCCCTCCCAGGTAAACGGCGTTTTGGAGTTCTATTCCATCTTCCTGGCACATGACGGTGCAGCGCCTGTGCTAGTCTATAACAGCTCAGAACTTTTTGAAGACCACACACTCCGCGACCTAACCCCTGGAACAGCTTACACCATCACACTCGCTGTGAGTCCCTTACTCTTTCATCTTTTTTTAATTTGCACCGTCGCATTCATAAACTCATTAATGCGTTACTGTGTGTTCACATCAGGCCTGCACAGGAGGTGGGTGTACCGTAAGCCCTCCCAGCCAGGCTCAGACTGAGGAGAGCTCCCCAGAGAATGTCCCTGCACCGCTGGTCACACCTCTGTCCCCACATGCACTCAACGTCAGCTGGACACCTCCTGATACTCCGAACGGTAAAGGGAAAGGGACTTAATCTGAGATACATAGCCTAAAACATTCAAATAAACATGAACAAATTATCAACAGTGTTTAGAATGAAACATTTTAACTACATACATGCAAACTCATGCAAGCTTTTAATCATCCATTTGAACATATTTAAGTAATTGTTTTTTAATATATTTCTTTTAGATACAGGAAAGTGATCTGAGAGATAAAACATTGACAAGATTCGTGATGAGGAAAACATTAGTTGAAGTCTGGGCTTGAATACACAGTGTCAGTATTTACTAGAACCCAGACTATCGCATATATAAATACCTATATCATTGCTCAGGTATCCCGCACATGCGAGTATGAAACAGGTGAACGTTTCGCTTTGAGCAAGAGGAATCAGATGAGTGTGCAGGAGATGGAGATAAAACAGATAGAGAAAAGGGGAGGAAATAGAGGACTCAGACAGAACGGGGGAAGAGACAAAGATGGGGGGAGAGCACATAAAATGTGAGAGTAACGGAGGCCGGTAGTGTGAAGGCACTGCTTCACCAAGCTCCTTTAAGTGGATGAAAAGTGCTCCCTTTTGACTGAATAGAGAACTGCAGGCTGGAAGCACAGAGACTCGCAGTGACCGCCTTTCTCCCTCATTGTTCTCTGTTCTTCTTACAGCCAATTAACATCCACGCACAGAGCCGGACAAGGTGTATTTGATGTATATTGGAGGTGAATTTGAAATTCGGCTACTGGCTTGGAACTGTCTACAAAAAAAAAGTTATTTGCAAAAACAATTTTTTTGTGAGCAAAGAGTAAAGAGGCACGAAGTTGTAGATAGAGTTTCCTGCACAATACGGTTAGGGAATTAGAATGCATAAATTAAAGTTTCTTATGAGTTTAATTTAATTTATACTAATATACTAATGTGTTTGAGTTAGAAAGCACTAGGAGTGATGCATCATCAGTCAATATACTTCGCCCTGAAGTACATGAATTACATTAACAATTTAAAAACCTCAAAATATTGCAAATAGTCTAAAACAGTAAAACAGCATCTGCTTGCTCTGGGCCACATCTTGTTTCAAAAACTACATCAGCATTTTTTATTTTTTTTGTAGTATGACATTGTTCATCTTTACTGTATATTTTAATCAACCAATTTAATATAAATGTACAAACTGGAGAACAGAACAAATAAACTTTATATTTAATCTAAGCACAAAGTACGCATTTTTAAAAACGGCTTCAAAGGCAGTACAACTCGGAGCACCCTTATATCTTAGCGGAGCGTTGTTGCATCTCTCTCTCCTCATTTCCTGCCATCACTCCACTGTCCATAACGAAGGCACAAAATGCCCAAAAAGAACTTCAAACACAACAATGAAACAAATTGTTATGAAACTTACACTCGGTATACGTATCATTACATAGCACTTGCATCAAGCAATCAGATGTCCTTGTGTCTTAATAAAAGTCTTAAAGGTAAAAAGTTCAATACATCCTTAAATAACTAAAATACAGTAGTTTCAAGTAACATCATCTACCACATGGTATACTGAAAATATTGTAATTTTTTTTACAAATAAATAAACATGAATTATAAGGACTATATTAACAAATGCACATCTTATGAACCCCGAATGAATTGAGTGTTGAAAACCATCTGAGGATATCCCACCTCATTTTACAGTCTGTAACATACAACGCTCCACCACATATTATCAAATGTTACTGCCATGCTCGTTAAAGTATGTGTAATTTCATAATGCGTGTGTGTGTGTAATGTGAATCGTGTGTGTTTTACGCTTAATGCCACATGAGTGCATTTCGCACCATAAACCATGTGATGTGTGTGCATATTAGCCCGGATAAATTACTTAAAGCTTCTCTCATCTGATGACAGAAATTTATAACAAGGAGACACTTAATCATGATTACCCGATTATCTCATGCTTAAAAAGCTTTAATTTTTGCTTAAAGAAGGGCTCAGTGCCTCCTTTTTTTAATTTACTCCTTTTTGTCATAAATGGCCGGCAACAATGATGATGATGATGGTGATGGGTTCCAGAGGAGTGAGATTCTGTCTCTCTCGCCCCCCTTCTCCCCAATTCCGCAGGGATTTGTGGGGGATAATCCTCTCGGGGATTAGGTCGGGGCAACACGCAGACAAAGAGGGGAAATAAGCCTGTTATGCATTCGCTGCTTCATTTCCCAACCTGTCTTTATTACAACCTATACTGATACGAGCTTATTCACACACACAAGCACACAGCGACGTCTGCACACATATACACTCGTACACTCTCACACGCATGTGATTGGCCACATTAAGAGCTTCCCAGATGTAGTTGGCGTCCGTGGGGTTTTTGTGTCTTCATTTCCCTGATAGGTGTGTATATCTGTATTGAGCAATAATAAAACCCACACATGATTAAAGCAGAATAGACTCTTAGTTCTTAGCACTGATCTTTTGAGCCCCCTGTATGCATTTTTATTAAGGAAAAGCACATTTGGCACCGTACTGTTTCATTTTTTTTTTTATTAGGTGGATGTAATGTAATGTAATTATTGTGCCTGTGTATGTATGTGTATGAACATGTGTGAATTCCCATCTTAGTGTGTGTGTGTATCTTTGTGTGCCTGTGGGGGAGTGTCGATGTGTGTGTCTGTGGATGAGTGTTCACCTATTTGCACCTGTGTGTGTGTGTGTGTGTGTGTGTGTGTGTGTGTGTGTGTGTGTGT